CCCGTCGGAGGTCACCGAGGCTGGAGGCCTGTCAGGAGGCGTCACGGTTGCGTGCAGGGATTTCGTCGGGCTGGGCTTGCCGCCGACGGACGTCAAGCGCTTGCCGAGCCCGCATCGCCAGCAGCTGATGTGGGTCAACGCGTATGTGCCAGGGGGGCTCATCATTGGGTCCATCTACTTGCCCGACCAGGACCCATTGGGGCCTACTGGGAGCCAAATATTGAGTAGAGTCGGAGAGCAGTTACATTCTTGGGGCTTACCGTTTGTCCTTGGAGGTGACTGGAACGTTTCACCAGATATATTCCAGGATTTGGGGTGGGCTGGCCGTCTTGGGGGACAGATTGTGAAGCCAGCTTCTTACACGTGTAAGTCCACTGCCAAGGTCTGGAAAACGATCGACTATTTTGTGATGTCTGCAGGTCTGGCGGCTAGCGTCCATTCTTGTGCCATCAGTAGGAAGGCTTCGACGAAACCGCACTGGCCCGTCGTGGTCAAGTTTCGCAGCGAGCCCTTGAGCGTGCTGGTCCAGTCGCTCCGCCAGCCGAGGGCCTTCCCGCAGGACATTGTGATAGGACCCATGCCAGAACCACTCGATTATCGGGAGCTCCTGGACTCTGCTCGATCGGTTGGGGATCGTGAGTCGTTGGATGCGTGCTATCGGTTATTCGTCGAGTCGCTGGAGCGTGAGCTTGGGACCTATCGCGGAGTTTTGGATCAGAAGCAGTACTTTGGTAGAGCGGAGGAGCCTACCATTGTGAAAGTATCAGCTGTCAGGACGTCTGGAGGTCGGTATCCCGTCGGAAGTCCTGAGAGTCGTGGGTGGCGTCGCGTTTCCAAGCTTTTCTCGGAGCTGGTTTACATCAAGAGACGGGGGCTCAGATGGGGTGAAGGCGAGTCTATGGGGCTTCTGAAGGCGGTCGAGTGGGGACCTAAGCAGTTGCGCAAAGACACGTCCTGGTAGCAGTGGGTCCCGTCTTTTGGATGCGTGTTCCACGCCTCCCTCGAGCAGTTGCAGGCCTGGGGCGACGAGGCAGAAGGTTTCGCCAACGTGTATGAACGCAAGTTTACCTCGGAGCGTGGCAAGCGTTGGCGCGAGTGGGTGCAGGAGGCTGTGTCTGCTGGCGCTGGCAAGGCGCACAAGTATTCGCAGTGCCCAATCGGCTGGGTGCCCCCCGAGTCCAGCACGGTCAAGGCTGGGGGATTTTCGGTCCCGCTGGGACCCCAAGAGACGGTTGATGGGCTTACCAAGTTTTGGCGTGATATCTGGAAGCCCCTCCCAGAGGCCTCGAAGTTCCCCGATCCCATCCAGTTCCTGACGCACCAGATCCAGGCCCAGGCTGATGAGCTGGGAGTCTCGGTCCAGGAGCTTTGTTCGGAGGAGCGATCCGTGGGAGACATCAGGGTTGCCATCAGGAAGTTCCCGAAAAGGACGGCGGCTGGGGTGGATGCACTTCGGCCTCGGGATCTGGACAAGGCCTCGGATGGCCTGCTGGAGGTTTTGGGTGCGCTGTGGCCTAAGATGGAGCTCTTGGGTATCTACCCCACCATCCTCCTCACCACCATCCTCGCCATGTTGGGGAAGCCCGAAGGAGGTTTTCGCCCGATAGCTCTGCTGCCCACACCCACGCGTGTGTTCTCCAAGCTGTCGCGGGGCGAGATAAAGCGCTGGGGGCGTGATAATAACCGTGCTTACCTCTGCGGAGTGCACGGCAAGAGTTGCGAACGAGCGGTCTGGGAGCAGAGTTTGACGGTCGAGCAGCATGTCAGTGTAGGTGGCTGTTCAGGCTCGTGCCTCGTGGACCTCGCAAAGGCCTACGAGAAGGTGTGCCATTACTTGCTGGCCGTCGCGGCCGTCAAGCATAAGTTTAGTCTGGTGAAGTTGCGCTTGTTGCTGTCGCTCTACCGTGCGAGAAGAATTATCAATGTGTGTGGCGTTGTTGGAACCCCCGTGCTGGCTTTCCAAGGGGCCCTGGCAGGCTGTGGTTTTGCGACGACGCTTTTACGTGTGATGCTCTTGGGCCCCATGGACCTCACCAGGGAGCTTTACTTTCGTGTGCGGTTGTTCAATGTAGTAGACGACATCACTGCGCAGGCTTCGGGTAGTAGGAAGCATGTCGAGAGCGTCCTGCCCCGCGCGGTGTACTTTCTGTGCCTGCAGCTCGAGAAGCTGCTGCTGGTTATCTCGAGGTCGAAGGGCCTCGTCCTTTGCAGTCACTCGGCGGCGAGGGTGACCATTGTGTCTAGGCTTAAGAAGTGGAATTTCACTGGCGCTAGTTCTGGACGGAACCTGGGCTGCGACCAGACGATGCAGAAAGGGGCCAAGGGATCCAAGGTCCTCCAAAAACGGTTGCATAAAATCAGGCTTCGGAAAGGCAGGCTCCGAGGGCTCAGTAGTGCCAAGAAGGGTTTGTTCAAGGTTGCTCGGGCGGGAGGCCTTCCCTCGGCCGCGTACGGTTGCCGTGTCAATGGTATGTCCACCTCCGCCCTTGGTCAGCTTCGAGCTAGCTTTGGGAGTGCGCTTTTTGGGACGCCAAAAGGGAGGTGCAGGACGTTGGAGTTTCTCCTCTCGGTGGAGCCCAAGGCGGATCCATCATATGATGTGCATGCGTTACCCATCCTTGCTTGGGGACAAGCCGCTCGCTTGAATTGGGCGGAGCAGCGTGTCATGGAGGAGTGTTTCAATTCATTTTGTCGCCGGCCTGCTCGTGGGTGGCAAGATGTCCGTGGACCTGCGGGCGCAGTTGTGCTCACGATCGAAAGGCTGGGTTGGCAGGTAAAAAGCTGGTGTAAGTTTGTGACCGTTCGGGGAGTGGAAGTGGATGTGAGCTTCTTGGGATACAGGTCGCTCAAGGTTGTCCTTCACCAGTCTGTTCGGGATATGCAGCTCAGAGGTCTGGGAGATGGGGTCAGAGTCCCAGGTCTTTCTGGAGGGCCTATGCTTGAGCCCGTCATCGAGGTCCTTCAGAAGCTTCGGGGAGAAGAAAGGTTCACGGCGGCCACGGGACTTGCTGGAATCGTTTCTGGAGGCTACCCAACCCAGCTGACTCTGTATGATGATCGTCGTGTTGTGGACCCCCTCTGCCAGCTTTGTGGAGAGCGGCTGGGCACGCCCAGTCATCGGTTCCGCTGCTGCCCAGCTCATGCCGCTGTTCGGCGTGATCTAGATGTGGGTGACCTTCTTGCCTTGGATTGCACGCCCGCTAATCAGTTGCTGGTCACCCGTGCGCTTGCCCCGAGTCCAGAGTGGCAGTGGCCAGCGCCGTACACCGTAGCTGGTCACAAGTGGGATGTGTTTCCTCCTGGGGGACACCTGGGGCCGAGAATATGTCTGGATGGGTCTGGATTGGACCCCACGTTACCTCAGTTCACGAGGGCTGGATGGGCGGTTGTCTCCATGTCTCTGGACTCTTGGGGAGGTTATGTTACTGGGTCTGCGTTTGGACCGCTGCCCCACGCGGTCCAGACCAGCGGCTGCGGGGAAGTGTATGCGCTGGTCATGGCTTTGAGGCTCGCGGGGCCAGAGGCCATGGAGATTGTCACAGACTGTAAGGCCGTCCTGGACACCTGGACTTTGGGACCTACTCAGGATCTGGAAAAGGTTGCTTTCTCGGAGCTCTGGGTGGACATTTTCAGGCTTGCGACTGAGATCGGCCCCGATAGGATAACTGTGACTAAGATTAGGTCTCACCTCTCCCTGGCCAAGGCCCGTAGGTTAGCAGTAGACGATTGGAAATGGCGGGGTAATAAGAAGGCTGATGAACTGGCCCGTCGTGGAGCCGAGGCCCAACCCCATAACCCTTGGACGCGCGAGCAGTTTAAAGGTTTGGAGCCTCTGATTCGGCAGTCGGCATGGCTGATTGCAGAAATCATGGATGATTTATCGGCCCGTGATTTTCCGGACGTTTCTAAAATCCGCAGGCCCCGTCGGGCCAAGCCGTCTCTCCTGGAACTGGTCCCAGACGCGAGAGGCCATGCGGTCGAGTGTGTAGCAAAAGGTTCATATATGTGTCTCCACTGCGGTGAGCGAGGGAAGACTCGTGCCGCGGTCTGTGTGTTTCCCTGCGGAGGGCCACCAAAAATTGCGCGGACCTGCCACAAGAGCCATCGTCTGTGGCTGATGGGGGGGAGGGTTGCTTGGTGTGTGCGTTGCGCTGCTTTTGGAAGCGCTCGGGCCCGCCCCTACCTCCTCCAGGAATGCCACGGGGGTCCGCGTAATCGGCACGCAGAGGATTCTTTGAAGATGCTTAAGGGAGGGATCGACCCCAGCACAAAGAAGTTTGTGGGGAGGTCGGTCCCTCTGGTCTGGGATGGGTTGTGCTGGGCGTCCAAGGCGGCGTGACCCCTCTCAGATCTAATTAAATCAACCTTTTACCCAGCACTGTATTTCGCAGCTTTATTGCAGGCTTGGCCAGCGGTAACAGACTGCTATGGAGCCAACAGGAGCCAACAGGAGGAGGAGGAGGAGGAGGAGGAGGAGGAGGAGGAGGAGGAGGAGGAGGAGGAGGCGGCGCCACTCCGTCATCACGTCCTGTCTGAAACTGCGATACCTGTCCATAATACCTGCTCTGCCCTGCCCTGCCCCACGGCAGTGACGAGCACGCCGAGCACGGGGAGGGGCTGGGGCCAATACTCTGAGGAGAAGGAGGAGGAACCACAGCAGAAGCAGGTGGACGAGCAGCAGAGGAGGAGAGGCAGGAGGGGGAATAGAAGGATGAACCCTCGCAGGCTGCATTGATGCACGCCGAGATCTTCTGGCGCCTTCTGGCCCTGTGTGGCTCTGGGCATGCCCAATAGAGACCGCCCCTTTCCCCACACGAGCTCTTCCGGGCGCGCGTGTCGGCCGCGACCTGTCGACCCCGCCGCGGTGCTGCACACGTGGCTTCCGAGCAAACAGAGGACGGGTAACGAGGAGGGATGGTGACGAAGCAGGAGGAGCAGGAGGAGGAGGAGGAGGACGACGACGACGAGAAGCAACGGCGGCGCGAGAAGGGCACGTCGGCCTGCGCGGGCTGAGGGGGCAGGTCGGCGGACTCGTCCGGGGGCTGGGTCGGCTGCTTCGTGGGCAGCACCTCCGGCAGGCCGAGACGGAGCAGGATCTCTTTTTTGCAAGAGGCGCCCAGGATTTTGCCAAAGGGAGGGCCCTGAGACCCGACGGCGCGAAACACATGTGATGTCGCCCATAAGCATGACCCAAAGCCCCAAACCCCATCGGTCTGCTGCATGCCTCGAGCTGGATCGAACTGCGATGATCCACGGGCTCGGAACCGGGCGAAAACGCCCAGTGTGAGAAAATAGCAACGCCGGGATCGGTCTGGCTCTCAGGTCTGGTCCAGGCCCATCGTGTGGAAGCCTCTGTTAGGATTGCTTGACGGGCCAAAGGAGTTGTGTTTCCGGGTGCCACTGGCCCAGGGAGAGATTGAACAGGCATGGATATATTGACTCGACACTCTGCAAGCAATGTGGATCGGCGCCTGGCGCACTGTTCCACAGCCGCTACCGATGTGATGCGAGCCAGGCCCAGCGAACGACCTGTTGCAGTCAATTTCTCATGCGTTGTATGGCTAACCTTGAGGCCTGGAACCAAGACTTAGACAAGGCCGCTGCTGGCCTCTTCACTCCTGTCCCCGAGCTGGCTCCCCCCCCTCTCGTCAGCAGCGAGGCTGGTGTTCTGGGTCAACCGCCCCGCCGACGGGGGGCTGTCAGGCAACATTTTCACCGACGGCTCAGCTCTCGACCCATCCAACCCATTGCTCACGCGTGCTGGGTGGGGGCTGGCCATGGTGGATGACAACGGTCTTTTCATCGCGGGTTGCTACGGAGCTGTCCCGTGGGAGATGGCCCCGTGGCAGGCGGCCAGACACGGACGGGGAGGATTACGCTTTGTATATGGCCGCCCTCGGATGTGTGACGGGGCCCGCGACATATCTTGTTGCTTGCGCCACCACAGTGAGTGTTGCCAGATCACCCAAGTTTGCGGTCAGCCCGGCATGCAGTCGAGCTCACATGTGGACGCGTTTCTTTCATGTCCATGACGGGGAGCCTCCCCCTGTTGTGAAGATCAAGGCCTAATCGACGTGGGTCGATGTTGAGCGCGAGCTTTCGACCCCATTCCATAAGCGTGGCTCTGATGAGGCTGACAAGATGGCCAAGCTAGGCGCCAGTTGTCACCCTCCGACGGCGGATGCCGCTGTGAAGCTTCGAGTCCTGGAGTCAGTAGTTCGTCAGGCGGCCCGCTGGGCCGGCGAGCACGAGGCCTGGAGGGCCAGCAGAGGGCTGAGGGACAGCGGCGATCTCTCGGGGCCTGATGGGGTCGGTTCGGGCCGAGCTCGTCCCCAGCAACTGACCTTGCCGAGCATTCGAAGTGGTGCCTGCCCGTTTGTTCTTACAGATCCCCAACATGACGGATTGGTCGCCCTCACCAGCATGCTCGGTCATTTGCTGGGCAAAGCCGCTGTGCTTGGCCCTGATGGTGAGCGGGTGGTTGGTGGGGGGACCGTCCTTGTGTGCCTTAAGTGTGGGGGTTGCAGTTGGGGGGCGGTCAAATCCTTAAGCTGCCCCTGCACCCCGCCTACGATTGCCCTGAAGCGACAGTTGGGCCATGTCGGGAAAGGCAGTTTCCCGTCTTGGGCCCCGCAATATAAGGGGCGAACGATAGGCCCAACGAGGCCTGCCACCCCTGCGGATGTGGCCATCCTGGCTACCACGTCTACGGCCGACTTCCAGACCCTGGGCGGTGGGAGGGTGGGGTCACGGTGGGGTCTTGGTCGTCGTCGTCGTCGTCGTCGTCGTCGTCGTCGTCGTCGTCGTCGTGGGGGGAGCGGTGGAGTGAGAGCGAGTGTGCTGCCCCTTCGGCCTCACGCCTGAACAGCTGGCGGATGAGGCCGCCCGCCTCCGCAGGGAGGACATGGGTGTGAGGTGGGATACCTGCTGGGGGCCCCAAACCAGCATGCACAATTCCGACTCCGAGACTGGAGACTGATCTACCCTCCCTGCTGGTGGCGTAAGTGGCTGGCGCCCCCTGGAGCGCCACCCAGCGGGAGGGGTAGGTCCCGTGTCGGCTGAGGTGCGTCACAAACCTCCTCCGCCCTGGGAAATAAAAATAGAATAGAGGAGACGGACGTGAAGTGGTCTGAATGGCTTTGCGGCCTCGTACCCGTTGGTGGGTCCAGGCTTCCCGGTGGGCACTGCACTGCCCCTGGAAGAGCGCAGGGGTTCCAAGGACCCACTGTGATTGACAGGGGGACGAGGAGGGGAAAGGACAGGGAGGAGGGGGAAGAGAAGGACAAAGACAAAGAAGAGCGAGGAGAAATGAGAAAGAGGTGGTGGACTCTGCGCCTGTCATTGCGGTCAGGAGCTTCTGTTTAGCGTGCCGCGGCAGCGGCCCCGGCGACACGCCATGCCCTGCAAGCGGCTAGCGTGCAGCTTCGCTCCCTGGTCTGCGTGCCGCGCCGCAGCGCAGTGGGCCAGGACGGGCGGAGGAACATGCCTCCTCCTCCTCCTGCTCCTCCTCCTCCTCCTCTTCCTCCTCCTCCCACTCCTGCTCCTCCTCCTCCTCCTCCTCCTCTTCCTCCTCCTCTTCCTCCTCCGCCTTGTTTCCTCCTCCTCCTCACTTCCTCTTCGTCCTCCTCTGCCTCCTCCTCCTCCTCCTCCTCCTCCTCCTCCTCCTCCTCCTCCTCCTCCTCCTCCTCGGCAACATGCCTGGAGGAGGCACATCGCATGCTGGACACATTCAAATGTCACGCCCTCCGCTTCTGCAGCCCTGGCTGCGCACGCAGTGATGCCAACAAATCGTGTGCGCTGTTCTGCTGGCCCCACTGCGCGGACATGTGCCGAGAATGGCTGCGAGGATGGAACCGACAAGGCGAGGGGGCGACATCTACTCAGCGCGGCTGCCTCTGGCCAGCCTGATGTGCCCTTGCTCCTGGCCATGGCCGAATTGTTCGAAGCAGGGCGAGTTGAGACAACGGCATCTGGAATCCCACCAGCCCTCTGGGCGTAGGTGGTCTAGAACAGATCCTCTTCCACCCCTCCCTCTTCCCCCTTGGGGAGGGGTTTACCCCTCCCCCTACCGCGAGCGGTCGGACGGCTCTTTTGGCCCCAAGATGGCTTCAAGAGCGCGTCAGAGAGCCCAAGATGAGCTCCAAGATGGCTCAAGATAGCGCAAGATCGCTCGAGATGGCTCCTAAGATGGTTCCACGAGGCCCAAAGACGGCCCCAATACGGCTCCAAGTGGCCAAAGAGCTCCCCAAGGAGGCCCCGAATATGCCAAAACCGGGCCCAAACCTTAAGACCATCAATGTTTTTTGCTTTCTCCCACTTTCGCTTCCGATGGCCGTCCAAGGCCTCAAGATGGCTCCAAGATGGCCCAAGAGAGGCCCAAGAACACCCCAAGACGGCCCCAAGAGCGCCCAAGAGCGCTCCAAGAGCGCCCCAAGAGGCGATGTTAGGAGCTCCTGGGGGGGGAGGCTAATTAGGGACCCCCCCTTCGTTGATCGATCTCCTCCAAGATGGCCCCAAGAGCGCCCCTACAGCCCCCAAGAGCGCCCCAAGAGCGCCCCAAGAGGCGCCCAAACGGCCCCAAGAGGCGCCCAAGAGGCCTCCAAGAGGCTCCCAAGAGACCCCCAAGAAGCCTCAAGAGGATCTCCGAAATCCACTTAAGACGCTTCTGGCTCTTCGGTTCGCCGTCCTCTTCAATTCCTCATCCACCTCTTCCTCCTCCTCCTTCTCCTCCTTCTCCTCCCTCTGCTCCTTCTCCTCCTTCTCGTCCTCCTAGTCCTCTACCTACTCCACATCCTCCTCCTCATTCTCCTCCTCCTCCTCCTCCTTTTCCTCCCCCTCCGACGAGGATTCCTTCTCCATCCTCCCCCTCTTGGGGTACGTGACAGCTTCCCCCGCCCTTTGTTATTCTGCATGCTCCCCGACTTCCCTGATCAACTCAACTCCCCTGGACATCCTTTCTGGATGGGCTGGTGGGGATATTTTTTTCGGCGGCCCGCAAGGAAAAGTCCAGAGGGCGTCAATCAGGCAAACTGGGGCACAGAGCCAGATAATTCGTGCACATGCAGAACAAATTAGGGAAAACGAGCAGACGAGCCGCGCGTGGCGACGTTCTGCAGCATGCAGAACAGGCGTCTGGGGCACAGAGCCAAGTAATTAGCGAATCGAACCGTCCTGGCGACAGCCGACCGCACCTAGGAAGCTTTGACTAACCAGTCGGTGCTAGCCAAGTGGGTGAACAGCCACTGGGCAAGACGACCAACCTTCAGAAGGCGTCGAAGGGAACGTATGGGGTGGGCCTTGGGCCGGAAACCCCCACCATCCCAAGCGAGCACCGTACCAGTGCGCAGTGCAGAGAGAGGTACACCTCGTCCCCAGGAGGTGACCCAAAGGTATTAGGCCTTCCGCCGGCAGGTGGCGCCGTCTGGTGGGGGGGAAACGTCACCTGGGCAAGGCCGTGGGGCGGCGGGAGTGTGGAGCGCATGGGGGGGGGGCCTTCGGCCTGCCGCCCCAGCCACCCAAAGTGAGTACCCAAGCGGGCGAAACGGGCCCATGTCCCCGTGAACAAGGCCAAAGTGAGCCGTGGGCAGGATTATTGCAGCCAGACCACACGGGCTAAGCCCACCACCGTGGGGGTCTAAGCGCAGTGAGTGTGTGCACCTTACTCCCAGAAGGTGACAAGTGTATTAAGGCCGGGGCCTGTCACTGCGGTGAAACGAACCCCTTTCGTGAAAGGACTGCTCACGGCCGATGTGGCCCGGGGGGGCACCCGTCCGCGGCGTCTTCACCTCGCCCATTGCGTGCCTGTGGGCCGCAAAGGGACTTTCGAGGACCGTAATGGCCCCTGCCAGTGTACAGCGCGTCTTGCGAACGGCACACGTCGTCGGCCAGCCACCTCAGTCGTCGAGGGCGTCAGGAGGGAGGGGGGGGAGGCGCAGCCGATAGCCGCAAACATTTGAATACATGGGAGGAGGGGCCAGGTGCTGGCACCGTCTGTCGAGAACCCAACGCGCGAAGTCGGTATGTCGTCGGCGCGTGGCGCCGCCAGGTGGGGGGGAAACGCTCCTCTAGGGGCAACTCGCTTCTCCCTAGTCCTCCAATCTGTACCGGCCCATGCGCATTGCCGGCGGTCCCACCCCTCCCAGGACTGCCATGGAACCCATGGGGCGGCTGAACTGGATGCGCCAGTCTGCGGGGCAACCCTGATACCGGTGAACGCCGGGGAGGCACCTGTGGCCTCTCTGGGCTTGCTCCAAGGGTACCGCCGACCATCTCCACTGGGCACGCCTGGGGGGGTTGCTTGCGTGGCGTCTCTGCCCCCGTGGGGCACTGAGGGGGGTACTGGCGCAACATTGCTGCTGACGGCCCATGGGTACGGGCGGCCGTCTCCGCTGCGGCCCTTGGGGGCTCCCGTATGGGCCAGAGTAAGGGCCGGCGAAAGGCAGCGTTGTCCAGTGTCTGGGGCAGTCCCGTGGTCGCCCTGCTGTGAGAGTGGCGCAGTCAGAGGGCGGCAGACGGACGGATGGTCCAGAGGGGCTGCTCCGCGGCCTCCGCAGCCCCCGTCGCTTCCGCCGACCCCCACACCTCCAACGGGGCGGTTGTCACAGTCGGAGGGGGGAGTCGTAAGTGTGACAGGTCGGAAAGTGGTCGTCTGACGTTGCCGTCCAAAACGACATCCCGAACCTCCGCCGACTCCGCCGTGACTCCCCCTCCGTACCACAGCCTTGCTGGAACAGAGGACTGCTGACGGACAGTTTGACCAGAGGGGGGTGCCCCGCGGCTTCCGCAGCCTCCGCCGACCCCGCAGGGACTTCCCGTTCCTTTCCTCTGGCCTGCTGGTACAGCTGAAGGGGGGGAACGTACGTGTGCGCCGTACACAGGTCACTGCAGGCTACCTCCTCTCGATTCCCCACTGGGACGCCATCGTCTGACCACGATGTGGGGGGTGGAATCGTGGCCTCTGCCTCAACCGCGCCTCGATTGCCCTCTGGGACGTTGTCTTCTGCCGACGAAGCGGGTGGAGGCAAGCTGCCGCTGCTGCTGCTGCAGCGGCGGCTGCGGCAGCTGAGGTGCTGCAGCGGGCCGGCGACGTCGTTGTCGGCGTCAACGTCGTCGACGTCGGCGTCGCCGGCGTCAGCGTCGGCGTCGTCGTCGGCAGCGCTCGTTTTCACGTGTCCTTAAGCGTCCGTTTTCCTTTCGGTCTCTTTATTGCAGCCAGACCACACGGGCTAAACCCACCACCGTGGGGGTCTAAGCGCAGTGAGTGTGTGCACCTTACTCCCAGAAGGTGACAAGTGTATTAAGGCCGGGGCCTGTCACTGCGGTGAAACGGGCCCCCTTCGTGAAGGGACTGCTCACGGCCGATGTGGCCTGGGGGGGGCACCCGTCCGCGACGTCTTCACCTCACCCATTGCGTGCCTGTGGGCAGCAAAAGGATTTTCGAGGACCACTGGTGGGGATACGCGAAGCGTCAACAATTCGGCCCATGGTGACGAGGGGGGGCTCCGCCCACAGCTTGGAAGTTGAGACCCGAAGGTCCAAACTTCCAAGCTGCATCGAACCATGGCGACGAGGGGGCCCCCTAAAAGCCAACTGCCGTTGCCTGCACTCGCCCTCCTCTGACGCGCAACCTCCATCTCCGCAAGAGCAGGGGGGCGGAAGATCCGTGGGCGCGCCCGACCTGGGTACGGAAAAAAAATGCTCAACAGTCAAGGTTGCCCAAATCCGACAGCGATCGCTGCTGGGCAGGCGGCTTTTGCCCCAAGTGGACAGCATCAGCGGCGACGCCGACAGCGATCGGTCTTCGTACCCATTCCTTCCGTACCAGTTCCGAACGTACCGCGTCACGAGGGTCTTCCCAAATGGCGTCCGAGTCGACAGTGTCAGAGGAACGCGCCGCATCGCCGAAGCGTCGCCGACGCGTCGCCGATGCATCGGCGACGTCGGCGATGCATCGCCGCCGCGGGCGTGGACAACACCGGGGTCCACCGCGTCGAGTCGCATCGCATATGCATCGCCGATGCGGTGCCATCCTCCGACACCCATCTGGGCGATTTCGGAAACCCTGCACCCAAAAAACGTTTTCATCCCTTCCGCCACCTTCCGCCGAGCGAGAGATGACGACTCCTTCGATCCTCGAAGGCAAGGCCCTTCTTGGAGCGCCCCCTCTGCCTCGACCCGCGCTGGGGCGGAGGAGCTTCCAGGGCGGGAGGAGCCCAGGCCGTGCCCAGCCTCTTGGGCACGCCGGGGGGCCGCCGAGGTGTGGGGCCTCTCCGCGGCAAAGGGGGCCGCCGAGGCGCAAGAGAAGCCCCTGCCCGGCCGGCCGCGGGCGAGGGGCGCCTCCGCCCCCTCGGAGATCTGGCGGGCGTGGCCGGCCTGGGCAGGTCGCCAGCGCGCGCTCGTTCACCGAGGCACCGTCGGCACGAGGCAGGCGGCGCCATCGGCGGAGTTGAGCGGGGCAAACACGCGCACACACAGACACACACACAGACACGCACACACACAACACACACTCACGCCGACACCCACACACACCGACACCCACACACAGGCACACACAGGCACACACACAGGCACGCACACACACAACACACACTCACGCCGACACCCACACACACCGACACCCACACACAGGCACACACAGGCACACACACAGGCACACACAGACACACACACAGACACACCCAACACACACGCACACACGCACACACACGCACGCACGCACGCACGCACGCACACAAGCACACACACACACACGCACGCACGCACACGCACACGCACACGCACCCGCACACGCACACGCACACGCACACGCACACGCCCCCCCCCCCCCCCCCCCCCCACCACACACACCCACACACGCATCCACACACACCCACACACACCCACACACCACACACACACCCAACACACACACACACACCCAACACACACATACACACACCCCACACACCCACACACACGCACACCCACGCACACAACACACACACACACACACCCGCACAACACACAACACACACAACACACACAACACACAACACACAATACACGCAACACACACAACACACACCCACACACGCCCACACACACCCAGAACCCACACCACCCACACACCCACATCCAAACACAACACACACGCACACACCACACACACCACACACACCACACACACAACACCCACAACACAAACCCACACCCACAACACACCCTCACCCACACCCATACCCACTCCCACGCCCACGCCCACGCCCACACCCACACCCACACCCACGCCCACGCCCACGCCCACGCCCACGCCCACGCCCACGCCCACGCCCACACCCACACCCACACCGACACCCACACACTCACACACACACACCTCACACCTCACACAACACACACAGCACACAACACACACACAACACACAACATACGCAACACACAACAGACACACAACAGACACACAACAGACACGCAACACACAACACATACAGCACACAAACCACACACAGCACGCAAAGCACACACAGCACACGCAAATCACAACACACACAACACACAATACCCAACACCCACACCACACAACGCACACACACGCACACACAGACCCCCCCCACACACAACACACAACAGACACAACCCACAACACACAACACACAGCACGCACAACACACAACACACAACACACACAACATACACAACACACAACACACAACACACCACGCACATCACACAACACACACCCACACACAACACACACAACCCACAACACAGAACACACATAACACACATAACACACAACACACACTACACACCACGCACCGCACACCACACACAACGCACACACAACACACAGCACACAACTACACCCACACACAACACACAATCCACACAACACAAACAATACACAACACGCACAACACTCAACACACACACACAACACACACACACACACACTCACATGCACACATGCACATACGCACAAACACACACCCACACACCCGCACCCACACACACAATCGCACTGGGCTAACACGCGTCCTGAGGGTCATCGATATATCCAGACCTCCGACGATCTGGTTGTCCAGTCCTGGAGGATGGCCTCACATTTCTTTCGTAACAACAGGATGTGCATTGCTTCGGAGTCCCGGACTGGCTCGACGACTGCTGCAGAATGATGGTGTCCAGGGCTCTGGTAGATTTTATTGCATTCTGATCGTGATGCCGGATCCCCCCCCACCCCGAGCGCCCCCTCCGCATCCCCCCGTCCACCGGCCAACGCGCCCCCTCCGCCCCGACACCCCCATCCCGAACGCCCCCTCCATCACCCCATTCACCAGCCAGCGCGCCCCCTCCGCCTCCTCCCCCTTCCTTTTGTGCAAGAGCCATGGCGCGCGCGCCACTCCTCGCATTCTGATCGTGATGCCGGATGCCAGGGATCCTCCTCGAGTCCGGCCTCCGGGGCCCGTGACCGTGCGAACGGAAGCAGGGCGGAACGCCTGCCTCTGGGGAAGGGGCCAGGGTCTCCGAGGCCGCGCGCTGGACAGACATCTTAATCGCTGGATGTCTGCGTATATGCCTGCACCGTTCCTGGCCAGGCGGATCCCAGGACGAGGATCGCTGTAGACAGTCGGCCCGTATCATAAGGATGCGCGAGAAGGATGCCAGGGCCTTGGACGCCAATTCCGAAGCTTCTCGAGCGGGGCGCGGCCAACGAAGGTGGTCCAGGATGGGCTGAGGAGGCAAGGATGCAAGGGTACCCTTGGGAAGGTTGCCCATCCTTACCATGCGGGCTGACAGGACGAGGAGGAGGAGGAGGAGGCTGAGGAGGAGGCGGAGGAGGAGGAGGAGGAGGAGGAGGAGGAACGATCCTGGGCCCAGGATCGGCCTGGACTGGGCGGTGCAGGTGCAGTTGGTGTCCTCCGAAGGACCCCCTCGCCGGGCCAGCCCCAGTCGATGAACGCGAGGTGCTCCTGCCGCAGGGTTCTGGTTGCCGCTCCCAGGCACCCTCCCATACATGTTGACGTGTTTCTGTGTATCGATGTACACATGTGTACATATAGGTGCGTCCATGTGCAAGTGTGTACCTATGTAGATACATCGATGTATGTGCATACGTATATGTATGTATATATGTACGTATATCATCCGCGGCCCAAGATTTCCCGACTCCTTCCCGGGGGTAGTTTTGCGTCCAGGCTGCAGGTGTGATGCTTCCGGGGACGGGCAGCGATCCCTGGGAGCCAACATGAAGAGAAAAGCTCCGCCATTGAAACATTGTATCGTCGGAGGCCTGGAACTTCATCTCGGCCGCCGTCTCTGGCAAACTCGAGTCTTACGTGACCTCGAGTCTGGAACCCTTCCCAGCGACCGGCGTCGTCGCCGTCGTGATCGTCGTCAACGTTTTGATTATAGTCGCCGTCACGTTTGTCGTCGTCGTCGTCGTCGTGATCGCCATCGTCGTCGTGATCGCCATCGTCGTCGTCGAGACATCGTCGTCGTCGTCACCCTGCTTCTCGGCCTTGTCATCGCACTCGTCGTCGTGCTCCTCACTGCCAGCACTTCCCTGCTCCCCGTCCTTGTCCTCATCTTCTTCCTTCTCCTTGTCCGCCTTCCACCTCCTCCTGATCCATTCATATCCTCATCCTTTCTCATGTTCCCACCTTCCTCCCTGGCTCGTCCAAACCATCCTTGCTCCGCCCCCTCCTCCTCGTCATCCTACGTTGCTCCTCCCGATAGCTCATCCTCCTCCTCGGCTGCCTCCTCTTCCACCTCCTCATTGCTATCTTGGTCATCCACCTTCTCATTCTCCTCCCTCCTTGTCCTCCTCCTCCTCCTCCTCCTGTTCATTTTAATCCTCGCCCACCTCCGTCTGCTCTCTCCCAATAATCCCATCAGCTCTCTGGGTGTGAGTGATTTGGCGAGTTCGTTGTTCCAGCCCATGCGTTCAAGCACCTCGCCTGGATCCCAGCGAGAGGGGATTTCGAGGTGTCAAAGTGTCATGTTTGGCCCCAGGTGGCCCCGCGATGGCCTCCAAGATGACACAAGATAGACCAAGCTGGATTCCAGCATGCCTCCAAACGGCCTAAGACCGCCCCAAGACGGTTCGGGGTCGCCTCGGAGCCTCCCAAGGATAACCCTGAGAGGCCACAAAGAAATGCAGAAAACATGAATGACTCCCAAGAGCGGCTCAAGAGGACACCAAAGGACCAGGAGACACCAAGAGGGGGGGGCAATTGAGTCCGCCTCCGTTTGGACTCGATAGTCGCCAAAATGCTCCAAGAGGATCCGAGAAGCTCCCAAACGGACCCCACGAGAACCGTAAAGGCTTCCAAAATGACTCCAAGAGGGTCTCAAGATGGCCCAAATAAGCTGCAAATGCGCTCCCATTGCAAAAACATCGCGAAGGCATTTATGGTGGACTCCTGGGTCTATTCAAGCGAATCCCTCCTTCTCCGCGGCTTCCCTCTATCCATCGTCCTCCTTTTCCCTTCTACTTGTCATAATATATCTTTTGGGAAAAGTTCTTGTTTAAGAATTGGCGTCGCCCACCCCCCGACCAACTCTGGCCAACACTTCTAAGCAACGCAAAACGTGCTTGAAGCGAGCGGGCACGACCAGACTAATATTCATGGTATCAACGCTGGTAGCGTGGAGAGCGCTTCTTGGCACAAACGCTGGTCAGGGGATGGGCGCCATAAGCGAGCTGGCACGCTCAGAAACAACTTCCTGCCGACAACGCTGGCCATGCGGTGTGAGGTGCCTGGGAGCCGGCACGCTTAATGGCATCAGCGCTAGCAGCGTGATGATCATCAAGTGCGAGCGGGCACGCCTGGAGTCAAGTTATCGGTCAAATTGTTGGCAGAAATGCTAGCCGTGCGACGTGCACCATAAGCAAGCTGGCGCGCTCGGAAAGAACTTCCCGCCAACAACGCTGGCCATGCGATGTGCGGGGCTCGAGAGCCGGTACGGATGGAGTGCGCTTCTTGGCATCAGCACTGGCAGCGGATGATCACCAAGTGGGAGCGGGCACGCCTGCAATGAACTCATAGAACAGAACCTTGGAAAGCATGCTACCCATGCGAAATGCACCATACGCGAACTGGCACGCTCGGAAATTATTCACTGCTGGTAATACTGGTGATGCTGTGCGCTGCCAGCGAACCCGCACGCTTGGAGGACGACAACGAGGACGACGGCCGCACGGAGGTCTGCAGATATCCAGAACAAGCCGAGTGAACTTCCTGCTGGCAACGCTGGTACTTGGATGCGCGATTCCTTCGAGCCGGCACCTACGGCGTGCGCGTCTCGGCAACAACGCTGGCAGCGTGAAGGGCAATGGAATCAAGCCGCCAAGTTCACGAAACTCACGGGAGGGGCACTGGAATGACACGGGAGGGGAGGGGCACGAGTCTGGTAGAGGAAGGCTCAGCAAAAGAAGAACGATCACACTGGGCTGTGTGCTGAAAGCGAACCCGCATGCTCGGACTGAGTTTCCCAGCATCCTGGTAGCAGCACCACTGGCGGTAGGACGATCGCCGAGCTTCGAATGAGCTCATTCGAGAATTCCTTGCAGGCAACGCTGGCGCAGCGAAGTGCGCCGTGCGCGAGCCAGCACGTTCGAAAACCCCGCACCCTCCTTGCCTCCCTCCTCCCTCCTTGTAAGCACTATCATTTGCCTCCTCCATCTTTGTCCTGGAACTCTTCCTTTTTTCGTCCTCCTCCTCCTCCTCCTCCTGTTCCTCCTCTTCCTCCTCTTCCGTTTTCTCCTCATTCTGCTCCTCCTCCTCCTCCTTCTCCTCCTCCTTTCCTTCTCCCTTCTCCTCCTCATCCTCTCCCGCCGCATCCAGTTGCCTCTGCGGGGACGGGCAGGGACAGGGGGGAAAGCAAAAGGAAGAGACAGTGGAGGGGGTGAAAGAGGAGGGGCGGAAAGGAAGGAGAGCCTGCGGTGCAAGGGGCCCGGCCGGCCTCCAACCAACCCCAAACCAACACCCTATCCAACCCCCTGGCCCCCCCCCCCCCGAATTCCCCTAGCTTGGCGCCCTGGACGCCTTTCGAAAATGACGAGGGCGGGGGCGCGGAGGGGGCGAAGGGGGCGAGGGGGAGGGGACCGAAGGGAGGCATACGCTTCTCAGCCGCTGCGTGGAGGCCCGGGCCCCGGATGCTGGAGGCTGGCCAGCTCGAGACCAGAGTGGCTCAGACAGGACAGGGTGCCAAAGAGACGTGTCCACCAAAACTGAAGTCCGCTCAGGAGGCTTGTCTCCGCCCCCCCCCAAGTCCAGCGCATTCTCCGCGGACGCGTCTTCTGTCAGGGAGGCGATGACGGACTCGAGGACCTCGGCCTCCTCGGAGGCACGCTGGGATGGGGGGAGTGAGGACGAAGAGGGGTGCGTGCCAGCTGGCGAACCGTGCCGGCTCTCGAGCACGATGCTAGCTGCAGGAGGTGTTCGTCGCCGCGGCTCTGCCGTCGCCGGCGGCTGTGACGTCCGAGCCCAGGAGGCTCACCTCCTCCTCCCTCTTCTCTGTCCCTCTTCCTTGCGAGTAACTCCTCCCCGTCGTACCCCGAGACGGTTCTATCGGGCGAACCGGGTGCTTCGCCTGAAACTTCCAAACCATTTTTGATCCTGAAGCTTGAAATGCGGGTGGTTTTCAAAATGCGGCTCTCGCCGTAGCGACGCGCACATTCGTCTGAACAGTTTGCAGGAGTTTCACAACGTGAGGTCGGTTCTTTTGCAAAATGTGGCTCTCGCCTAAGCGCCGCGCGCATTCGCGTTAGCAGCCTATGAGAATATCAAGGATGCTATCCGCCACCGTGCCGCTGGGCACGGAGTGGGCGCGTCCTCAGGTCCTTTGCCTCATCCTTTGAGCCTCACTCGTCGCCCCTGAGGATTCGTCAAAGAACCCGGACCCCTCGCTCTCAAATCTCCCGGGCTTGGCGCGTGTCCCTGGGGGCTTCCCGCGTGCCCCCTGGGCTTCAGGAGGTGTTGTCGCATGAATTCGCCGGCCCAACGGGCCAGAGGCGTGCTAAGATCTCCGGAAACTACTTAAAAATGTTTCTAGTTCGCGCGCGCGGGGCGGCCCCTGGGGGGCCCCGGACGAAAAGTACCCCGGCCGATCCCCGGCTGATCCCCGGGCGATCCCCAGGGGGGAGGCTATTTTTCGCCACCCCTCACGAGGATCGTGGCCTCCGAGGGGGGGGGCTGCAATCGACTACCCCCCCTCCCGCCCCACGGGGCCCCCAAGAGCCCCCCAAGAGGCCCCAGGGGAGCCCAATACGCCGCCAAGGAGCCCCAAGACGCTCCCAAGAAGCCCCCACGAAGCCCCCAAGACGGCCCCAAGATGCCTCAAATAGCGCTCCAGGGCCGGCGGAATGAGCGAAGCGATAAAAAAAAATTCTCGGGCCCAAGAAGACCCCAAGAAAGAGGGCTCCCAAAAGCCTCCAAAACGGTCCAAGAGGGCCCCGAATCGCCGAACGATCGCTCCAAGACGCTCGAGACGGCCCAAGAGGCCTCCAACAGGCCCAGAGAGGCCTCCAAGAGGCCTCCCAGGAGGCCCCATGAGGCCCTAATCATAGGTATTCCGATGACTTTTAAAGGATTCTGGCGTTCTTGCCTCTGCGGCTTCCCGACGCTCCCGCACGGCTCTAGGGGCCCTCACGACCGCCCCAGGACGGCCCAAGACGCTTCCAAGAGGGCCCCCGGCTGGCCCAGGAGGCGCGAGGGCTGGGTGGGTGGCCGTCTAGGGCTGGAACGCAGAAGGATACACCAGCACTATGCGCCCTCCTCCGAGGCGCACGTCGGACAAACCCAGGATACGGTGCACACATCCTGCAGCACATCGTTTCCAGAGCGGTGTGTGCAGAAAGCGCCCGCCATGGAGCCTGTGCTATAAGACTTCAGAGCGCGCGCGTCGCCCGAGGGGGACCGACGCTCACCTGGTATGAGGATGCCTGTGTGGTGCCGACGGAACGCGGCGGGATTCTGAGAGGGCAGGGGGCCGCTTCGAAGCCGCCCGCCCCTGGGCCTCCGCGACCACGCGGCCCCCCCCTGACATCCGACGTCGTGTTTTGTTTGTTGTTCCTCCCCCACACCGATGCTTCCTGGCGTATATCCAGATCCGCTGCGTCTTGGACTGTTTGCGAAGTGGCGCCAAAAGGCCGAGGCGCAGCGGATGTTGGTAATCTTATGAAGAAAGCTTCCAGGGGCCAGAGGATTATCCATGCCCACTGCGCCTCTGGCTTCTGGGGAAGGGAGCCCGAACATCCAAACTGCATTGGATATGAACATGCATGTCACCCGCACCCAGAGGTTTGACTATGAACCCCTTCCCAGGGACTGGCTTCTCACTCCGAGGCGTCTCTCGACGACCCTGGGGCCACCCGGAAGCCGAGGACTGCCAACAACCTGCGTCTCGACTTGCTCACGACATGCGGGGCCTGGTTTTCGGACCATGACAGCTCAGGCCTCCAGCGACCGCTCGGGACGATTCGAACACCCCCTGGAACGCTCTCGGCGAGGCGCAGCTGATGGAAGGCGTCCCGAGGCTGGAGGGGCCTAAGGGAGCCCACGGAAACGTCGAAAACCTTGGGCCTCTGCATGACGACCTGGTGCAAAAGGTCGGGGCCTCTTGAGCAGGGACCGACCGTCCTGGCACTCCTATAGGCCCACCACGCCATGTTCTCAGAACAAGAGAACGTCCCACTGCCCACAACAATCCGGTTGTCACACCCAACCAAAACTGTTCGAATCACATTTCTAAAATCCACACAGTGATAATGCAAACGATTGTTGGTGAAACGGGAGAAAATGGAACTTGCAAATCCCGTGCAACTGGCAGTGTCCAGGGCTGGAAAAACTTGCAGTGGCTGAAACGAGCCCGACGCAGTCAGGATGCTAGACGCGAGGTCAACAGGGCTGGAAAAGATGCTGCCTTCGCCTCTGGTGGAGTGGGCGCACCTGCGTTGGGCCAGAAGCAAAGACGCTGCCGGAGAGGCGGGCGAGAGAGCCCCTTGCCCGACGCCCCCGCACCGACTCCACACTCCCCAGTGATACCGAAACGCCACCAAGGCGACCAAAATGCACCAGAGCACACAGGGATGGGCGGGCGGGCTCTGAGTGCCTCGCCTGTCTTGGCCCAGACCGCGAGGCCGGGGCAGGGCTCCATGTAGGACGGATCTTTGGCCCCTTGTCCCCGCGCCAGGCGAAGGCCATCGCACGAAAACGGACCCCCTGCCCCTTCGCGCCGGATACTTGCTATCCCGCCTCCGCGCCAGGCGGACTGTCGACTTCAACGAAAAGCCTGCCCAGCGATCTGCGTAAGCCTCCAGCGGGTCCCGAGAACCGTTTTCCTACTCGTTCCCAATACGACTGCCCGACGCCTTGCCGCAGGTCCTTCGCAGCTTCTTCGGAGCTCCTTCGAAGCTCGCTCTTCGACGCTTGCAAGCTCTCCAGGCATGCTTTCCGGCGTCCTACGGAGACCCCGCTGCCACCGCCGCCGCCCTTCCAGCGCAGGCGAGGCGGCTCTCCTCCAGCAGCCGGCTCCGTGTGCGGAGGAGCCGCTCGGCCCAGCCGCGGGCTGGGCCCTTTCGGGGGGATGGGGGCGGGCGCCCATCCCCTCCCCTCTCCTTCTCCCGCCTCTCCTCTCCTCTCACCCTCACCTCCTCCTCCTCCTCCGCCTCCTCCTTCCCTCCCTGTCTCCCTGCCTCCCTCCCTCCCTCCCTCCCTTCTCTCCTCCCTCGCGTCCTCCTCCAATCCCCTGCCTCCCTACTCCTTCCTCCACTGTTGCTTCTCCTCGTCCTGTTCCTTCTATCCCCCTGTTCCTCCTCGCTCCTCCTCTTCCACAATTGCACAATCTGAATGCTACTCTCCTCTCTCCCCGAATGACGTCCGGAAGATATCCAGCCCCCCTCCGCGTATTGTTTTTTACACACAAGATTCCTGGGAGTTTTTTGGTTGTCATAAAGCATATATGTTGTTCCCGCTGAAGCGCTGGCCTCATTTTCGGGCTTCCACGCGTTCCGAATCGCGCTCCCGCTGCAATGCTGGCCTCATTTTCGCGCTCCCGCTCGTTCCGAATCCTGCTCCCGCTGCAGCGCTAGCCCTCTTTCCAAATAGGCCACAAAATATAGAAAATTACCCCCTCGAAAAAACATCGGAAGTGATTACACATTCGGTGCCGTTTCGTTTTTTTGTTTTTGAGCCAGAGAAGCCCCATTTTGGGGCGTCGTCGTTTTCAGGAAGTATCAAACGGGTTGAGAAGGCGACGTTCAAAGCAGATCCAGCGGGTGCATTCCATCAGCCCCGCTTTGTGGAGCTTGAGCTAGACATGGAGCCATGACTCCAGACCGGCCCAGACCTCTCGAAGACGATCCACTTACCCTCCAAAGAACCTGCCGCCATGCCATGACATGCTGTGCGGTGTTGTGCTCTGCGCCGTTGTGCGATGCCATGCTTTGCGTTGCAATGCTTTGTGATGCAATGCTTCACTGCGCAATGCCACGCCATGACATGGCACGCTACGCCCTGCCGTGCACTTCTACGCTATGCCATGCCGTGCTCTACCATGCATCGCGTACCCTCTCGCCATCATTGCCCTGCTCGACATCCGACTATGCGAATCGAGCGGATATCTACGTCATGGTAAGGGATGGGAGGGACGGTAGGACGTCAGATATGATGCGAGCGCACCTAGCTTGTCCTCCCCCCTCCCTCCACCTCCCTCTCCTCCCCTTCTTCTTATTCTTCCTCCTCCTCCTCCTCTTCCTCCTCCTCCTCCTCCTCCTCCTCCTAAACCCAACCCCTCCCCCTCCATTGCCCTCTTCCTCCTCCTCCTCCTCCTCCTCCTCCTCCTCGTCTTCGTCCTCGTCCTCGTCCTCCTCGTCCTCCTCCTCCTCCTTCTTCTCCTCCTCCTCCTCCTCCTCTTCCTCCTCCTCCCCTACCCCTCGTCTCTGTAGTCTCTCACCCCCCTCCTCCTCCCGCGCCCTCCTTGGGAGTTGCGGGTGGGGGGAGGAGGGGCGAGGGACAAGCTAGGTGCGCTCGCGTCATATCTGACGTCCTACCCCTCCCTCCCATCCCTTACCATGGCGCTGATTTTCTCTATCCGCGGACGCGTGTCGTAGCGGACCTGTGGCTCCGCGCGCGCGTGCGTAGTGGGTGGTGGTGCGCGTGCGTGCGTGCGTGCGTGTGTGCGTGGTGCGTGGTGGTGGTGGTGGTGGTGGTGGTGGTGGTGGTGGTGGTGGTGGTGGTGGTGGTGGTGGTGCGGCGCGGTGGTGGCGGGCGGATGGGCGCGCGAGAAAGAGGCCCGCGCTGGGGCGAGAACGCCATCCTGAATGACGGAGGCCAAACACCGATCCGAAAATGAGGCCCACGTTGCAGCGGGAGCACGATTCGGAACGATTCGGGAGCAGAAATGAAGCCGGAGCCTCAGCGAGAGCAGCATTTTGAAAAAAACGCAGGCGAAAACCCGTTTCCCGGGAATCCTGTGTGTAAAAGAACAGTACGCGGGGGGCGGGTCGGATATCTTCGGGACGCCATCAGGGGAAGTGGGAGAGTATTTTCATATTGTGTAATTGTAGAGGACGAAGGGGAACGAGGAGGAGCTGGAGGAGGAGGAGGAGGAGTAGGAGGAGGAGGAAGAGGAGGTGGTCGTCCTCCCTTCCTCTCCAGACATCCGGTGTAGTGCTTTCGCAGCGTGTCTCCCCAGAGGTCTGGATCCGTTCCTAGAGACCGCATTTTCATCCTGAATCGTCTCTTGACGTTTCTGGTGGCCCGGCAAAGGGCCCCCAGAAGTCGCAGACGGAGGAGGACAGGGGAGCCTTCCGGCGTAACTTTCTCCACGACGCGAGGAATTCAGGGGAGGGCGAGGAGGAGGGGGTCGTCATTTTTTATGTATATATATATATATATATATATATATAAAGAAACTACATAAGCATCAACTGTTGGAGGTTCGCGCCGATTTCTTGGACCAGCGCTCCCCTCCAGCGCGGAGCGCGCCAGGGGCGGCGTCGGAGGCGCCGCCAGGTCCAGGGGGGGCCAACGCAGATCCAAAGACATCTGTGCGGACCTCTGAAAAGGAATGCCTGTGCCCTTCTTGACATGGGCAACACAGGGAGGGTGCTGGAGGACACGGAGCCCGGGCCCCGAGGCTGCTCCCGAGGGCCAGCCCCTCCTCCCGAGCCGTGCCTCTGACGCCCACGGGGCCCGTGGAAGGCCCTGAGAGAGACCCAAAGACGAGACGAGACATGACCCGTTTCCCTCAGGGATCGGGGAGCAAGCATAAAACTTTCGGAGGTCCGCGCGGAATTCTCGGACCGGCGCTGGAGCCCCGTGGCGGCGCCTCCAGCGCCGCATCTGGCGCGTTCCGCGCGCCAGGGAGGGGGAGGTCCAGCGACGATTCAAGAAATCAGGGCGGACATTCGAACTCGAACATTTAAGCTCATGTCATCAATTGTTCTTCGAAAGACCCATCTGCTTCATGGCGAAATTTGTTCCTCTTCGACCTCGGGGATCTTCTGACCCGGGTCAATCCAGACCCGGGTCAATCAGACCGTGCAAGATCCTGCAGGCTCCTGCACCCAAGCCCGGGTCAGAACGGCCCTGGCTCTGCAGGCTCCTGTAAGATCTGGCGCTCTGACTGACCCGGCTTTGCATGGACCCGTCTCTTGAGCCCCGACGGCCCTCCCCCCTTCGCGCCGGCCTCGAGGTGAGCGGCGGCGAGCTCGGGGGCCGGGTGGAGCGGCTCGGCGGCGCTCGGCGGCTGCTGGGGCCGCGCCTCAGGGGGCTGGCTCGGGGCCGGCCGGGGGGCGGGAGGAGAGGGAGGAGGAGGAGGAGGAGGGGAAGGAGGAGGAGGAGAAGGAGGAGGAGGAGGAGGGCCAGGCGGGACATTAAAGTAGCGTGCAATCCATCCAGCTGGACACCCACGATGGCGACAGCCAACGAGGGCGACGACGACGACGATGAGGGCGACGCCAACGACGATGAGGCCGACAACGACGACCACGACGAAGACAACGACAACTACAACGACGACGACGACGACGACGACGACACCGACGATGACGACGAAATCGATACCGACCAAACGGGCGGGCCGGGCGCGCGAACCCTAACAAGCGGGGCAAGTGGCTTTACACTAACGGGTGGGCGGGTGGGGGGCCGGGCGGGACATTTAAGTAGCGTGCAATATATCCAACAGGACACGCACGACGGCGACGACGACAAGGATGACGACGACGAGGGTGACGACGACGACGAGGGCGACGACTACGATACCGACGACGACGAGGGCGACGAGTAAGACATCGACGAGGACTGCGACACGGAAGAAAACGACCGCGACGACGACGACGACGACGACTGTGAGGTGACCAATTTGGCGACGACTCAAACAGGCGGGTTACAGCAACGGGCCTCGCAGGATCCTGACGCGCGGGTCGGTTCGGGAAGACCCCAACAAGCGGGTCGAACGTGTCGGGCCGGCGGACCCTAACGGGCGCGTCGGCCGGGCGGACCCAAAAGGGCAGGCGAGTCGGGTCGGGCACGACACGAAAGTAGCATGAAGTCCATCCAGCTGGACACCGACGAGGGCGACGACGACGACGAGGACGCCGACGAGGACGACGACACCGACGAAGACGAAGCGAGGGCGACGACGACGACGACGACGAGGACGACGACACCAACGACGACAACGCCGACGACGATGACGAGGCGAGGGCGACGAAGACGACGAGAAGGACGACGACAACGACGACGACGACTACGGCGAGCGTAACCGATACGATGAGGACGACGACAACGTCCAAGACGTCGATGATGATGACGAGGGCGACCAATACGACGCAATCGACGATGAGGACGACGACGGCAACGAGGAGGGCGACAACGACGATGACGAGCACGTCGATGATAAGAAAGAGGGTGACGACGAGGACGCCGACGGCGAGAGCGACGACGACGACGGCGACGAGGGCGATAACGATGACGACGACGACGACGTGGCAGACGTCGATGATGACAACGAGGGCGACAACGACGACGCCGACGACGAGGAGGCCGACAGCGACGAGGAGGGCGATAACGATGACGACGACGAGGGCGACGAGGACGCCGACGTCGATCAGGAAGGCGACGATGCGGAGGGCGACAACGACGACGACGATGAGGGCGACGATGGCGAAGGCGACCCTGACGGGGCGGGCCATGCGGCGGACCCGAACAGGCGGGTCGGGCGGGCGGGCCAGGCGGGCGGACCCTGAGTCGGGCGTGCGGACCCCATGGGCGCGTCGGCCAGGCGGACCCTGACGGGCGGGCGGGTCGGGTCGTGACATTGAAGTAGTGTGCAAACCATCCAGCTGAACATCCACGAGGACGGCGACGACGACGACGACTATATCGAAATCCCTGTCATGATCCCCCGACTCCCTGTCATCCCACCCGTCTTCAATCACCACGACGCTCTCATGGTTCTGTCTGGTCTATGGTACTGGGTCTGTGGAACCAGGTCTTTGTAAACTGGTCTGTTGGACACGTCTCTGTTTAACCATACCTCTCTTGAGCCAATCTCTGGGGACCCGACCCTCTGTTGATCCAGTCCAACTGAGCAGCTGAGCGCCCCCTGGGGTTCATGGAACACGAAGTGCGTGAGGGGTGCGCCGAAATGCGGATCATATCAGCCGTCTTGAGGGCCAGCTGATGGCCTCCTCTGGAGTGGGGCGAGGGGTTTGCCGAAACGAGGCCCCATTGAGCCGTCTTGTAAAAGCCAACTGGAGGCCTTCGGAGTCCATGAGGCACGAAGTGCGTGCGAGGTGCGCCGAAATGGGGATCTCTTCAGCCCTCTTGAGGGCCTCAAGGGGCACGAAGTGCGTGACGGGTGTGTTGAATCGAGGCTCCCTGTGGGGCCAGCTGATATCCCCTGAAGTCAATGGGGCACGAAGTGCGTGCTGGGTATGCCGAATTGGGCCTCTGGAGAGCATCCAGGAGCCCTGGGAGCTCGGACACATGATGTATGCTTGTGCGCCCGGGGCTTTATGGAAGCCCCAGTGGGCCCAGATCGACACGGAGCACCTCCCCCCACCCGCCGAATGGGGGAGCGTATAAAAAATGAGACCGCACGAAAGCTGAGGGAGGCGAAACAAAAAACGAGAGGGGGGATGAAACCAGGGGTTCAAACAAGGAGCCCCAACCCCCCCCGAGGGGGGTAAGAACAGAAACTTCTAAAAACCGAGAAGGGGGGGAAACGAGGGGTTCAAACAAGAAGCCCCGAACCCCCCGAGGGGGGAAGCACAACAAGCTTCGATAGGGGGGGAGGGGAGGGCGTGTAAACCGAGGAAGGGGGGGGTGGGGGGGAAAACGTGGGGTTCAGACAAGAAGCCCCGAACCCCCCGAGGGGGGGAAGAGCAAACAGCTTCGACAGGGAGCGGGGGGGCAAGGCCTCCCTCAATCGGGGGTGCTCGCGCGAGGCCTCCTCCCGAGTCTTCTGCAGTCCCAGGAGGAGGAGGAGAAGGAGGAGGAGGAGGAGGAGGAGGAGGAGGGGCCCAGAGGCCGCAAACTGCCTGAAGTGCCCCGCCGTGAGTTCCTGACGCCAGGAGGTCTGGCTTTCAGGTCATACCCAGACAACCTCCAACGCCACGTCTTTTTTTTTTTTTGTTTCTGCAGCGTGAGCCCCCGACGGTCTAGAGCCCTTCCCAAGGACATGTTTCTCATCCTGAGCCGCTTGGGCACCCTGGGGCCCAGGAAGTGCACTGGGAGACCGAAAAATGCCGAGTGAACCTCCCGCCGTGACTTTTTCGGCGACATCTCTGGACGACTCAAGTCCAGCCAGAACGGTACCCAGGCATATTCTGATTGGATTGTTCGTTCCGCGCTTCCAGGGCGCTCCTGACCCCTTCCCTGGGACTAGTTGTGCGCCCCAGATCCATGTTTGATGGTCCCCGGCCCTGAAAGCCGCCCCCAGAGGCCGACATGAAGAAAAAACATGCCGCGATTGAACTTTCTTTGCTTCGAGCGACCCCTTCCAGAACACGCGGGGTGGGACATCCAATTGAGCAGGGACCGACCGTCCCGTCATTCTCATAGGCCTACCACGACATGTCCTTAGAACCCAGAACTGTTAAATAGACCCATTCGATGTTCTTAGAGCAAAGCCCGATGTGTTAAAACAAGGCAGTCTCGGCCAGATATGTTCTAAGAACATTTCGTGCAGATCACAACAGGTTCTTAGAACATTCTTTGGTGGGCCTGCAGGCAAGCCAGGACGCTTCGCCACTGCTTGACCCAAGGAACACCGGCACGCTCTTCGGGCCGCGGCATGCAGTCGTCACCCGTCCCTCGTCGAAGAGACGCGAGGCAACATGCCTGCCCAAGGAGCACCGGCACGCTTTGGGCCTGGCGGCCTCGCGGCCCTGGGCCGGGGCCTCCCTTCTTTAAACCTTGCATTTAGGTCGGGCATGGCCCCCTGCAGGCGGATTTTTGATGAAAAAGAATAAATCATAAAAGATAACCAATGGCGTTCGAGCATTACTTGAACACGCAATTAAGCAAATCGTCCGCAGAGTATTTTTGACTATTTTTGAACAGTCTTCCTGTAGCGGACATGCCCAACTTACGCTTTGGGCCTGGCGACCGCGGTAGGCAGGGTGTGCGAGGCGGGCCGTGGCATCCCTTCTTTAAACCTTGCATGTATGTTGCTTCCATCGTACTTGAGGACCAGATCCCAGAAATAATTTCGAGCACCCAGGAAAGTAACGAAACGGTGTCGAACGGGCATCGCTTCCCAGGGCCCGACACGTGACAACCCTCCAGTTGCGGTACGGTCTTGGTGCACAATATTCTTTTTGGTGGTTCAGGTCAATGTAGGTTGGAACATCATAACCTTACATCCTGCCTTACAGCCCCAAACTCCGTCGGGTGAGGAAAGATCGGATCGTCCCCGCGCATGCGGTGCCCTGCTTCTTCCACGGCGTGGGCCCCCACAGAGGCCGGACCCCTTCTCCAGGACCTGTGCTTCACCCCGAGTCGTCTTTTGTGGACGGCCCCGGTGCCCCGCGAGGGCCCCCGGGAGGCCGACAGTGGCGGAAACAACACAACTCCCGGCGCGATTCTGCCACGAGCCCCAGAGGGGGTTGTCTGGGTCGGCGGCCTGGGCCCCGGCGAGGCGCAGCCGCTGGCCGAGTGGCCGCGCGCACTTGGGGGGGGGGGCGGCGAGGAAGGTGGCCTTCCACGAAGGCGCTGCGTTTTCGAAGGGCCTGCTTCTTCGAGGGCAGGAGCCTTCTTAGAAACTAACTTGTGAGCATCTCGCTGGCACTTGCAAGTCTTTCAGTTACACTTGTAAGTCTTCTATCAACAGTGAAGCCTTATAGTAAGACTTGGAAATCTCATCACACTTCGAACGCCTCACTTAATGTAGCGAGTGAGGGACCTCAGGGAAGGCTCCCTGGGAGCTGGGAGGGCCTCCAAGAAGACCCCTGCCTTCTTCGAAGCCCCCCCCCCGCCTCCCAAGAAGGCCGCCTCCCTCGCGCCCACCCCCCTGGGTGCGCGCCGCGGAGTCTCGGCGAGGCGCAGCCGCTGGCTGGGCCTCCTGCGGCCTGCCGCTGCCCGAGAGGACGCCCTGGCCGCCCCGCCGCCCGAGAGGCGCGCGGCGCCTTCGGCCAGCTGCCCGCCGCGCCCGCGCCGCTGGGCCCCTGGAGCTCCGCAGCCCAAGAGATCGCTGCCTCTCTTTCGGCGACACCCAGAAGGCTAACGTATTGAACAACAAACAAAACGGAGGTGTCTCGCCGTGTTCGGCCTCTGGAGGCCCTCGCTGGTCCCCGGGGGGTGGGTCGAGACTTCCGCGGGCCCCGCATCGAACACATCACGACATCGGATCTCTGGGTAAGCCAGGTCATCCGGTGGGGGGGAGGGGAGGGTGCCGGACGACGAGCTTACCTCTCGCTCTGGGCAACCTCACGTATGCCCGCGCGCCCAAGGCCTGCGTTTAACCCCTTCGGACGGTTTACCCGTTGGGGAGGAGGGGAGGGTGCTGGACGACGGGCTAACCTCGTCTTTAGGGGAACGAGAAGTGACATGAACATAAAAACTCGGAGGTCCGCGCGGATTTCTCGGATCGGCGCTGGGCCCCCCCTGGCGGCGCCTCCGGCGCCGCCCCTGGCGCGCTCCGCGCGCCAGGGAGGGGGGTCCAGCGCCAATCCGAGAAATCCGCGCGGACCTCCGAGTTTTTCTGTTCGTGCCCCTTTTTGCTCCCCTACACCCTGCGAAATGCTTAAGAAATCATGGGTTAAGAAATTCATAGTCTCAGAACTTGAATAAAAACCAAACATTTCTATTAAAACCTTAGGTTTTACATTGAAGAGTTAAGAGCAATCGAGACTATGGCCGAAAACTTGGGTTTTCCTAAGCATCGCCTAAGGTGTATTCTTCGCTCTGGGCAGCCCCACGTGTGCCCGCGCGCCCCACTGCTGTGCTTTTGACCCCTTCGGACCTGCGCAGCCGACAGGGTCGGGTCCTCCGCGAGGGGGGGGGCGGGCGGGCCCGATGCCCGGGGTGATCGCAGGAGCCCAGACAAAGACAGTCTCCCTGCGCGCCGCAGCCCAGATCTCCGACGATGGGCCAAGACCCCCCCGCGCAGGGACGGGAACACGACGGGCGGATCTTCATGACTTTCGGCCCCTGTTGGCACTTGCCGGGCCCTGGGGCCGTCAAACAGACGACGTGGGATCCACAAAACGCCTCCTGGGAATGTGCCCACACCTCTTCGGGCCCACGTCGTGAAAAGAAGAAGACGACCTATGGGTCTGGGAGATGTCTTCAGTCTGGCAATCTTTCCTCCTTTCCGACCTCTGGGGCCCATGACCCGGCACGGGGGCCGTTAGACGTGAATCTGGGAACCCGAAACTCTGCCCGGGGAAGGGGGGTCGGCATCGGGCCGCGCACTGAAGAGATCACATCGCCAGCTATACGGGTGCTCGTTTTTCATTCGTCGGCAAGTTTGCTTGCATGGAAGGGGAGGGGCGGGGCCTAGCAAGGCCCGAGAGGAAATCTTGACTGCACGCAAGCCAGGGCCTCAGTTGCGTGCCTCCTCGGTTTAGCGCAGTTTGAAAAGGTGGTGGATGGAAAGGTCGAGGAGTGGGAGGAATGCCATGCACCATGCAACTAAACTTGCCCAAGTCGTCTCAAGTAAATCGCGCTCTGGGAGGCTGGGTGCGTGGATCTGGCGCGTGGGCGCCAGATCCACGGATCGGAGAAGTACTTCCCGAAACCAGAAGCAAGTGCCGCCTGATTTGGCGACGGCGCAAGCTGATTTTGCATGGAAACGGGACCCGTAGGTAATCCCAGACATCAGATGTCTTGCATTTTCCAATGCGGGACCCCCAGAAGTCACAATCCTTTCCCCAAGGCCTGCTTTTCATCCTGAGTCGTTTTCTGACTGTCTCGGGGCCCGACGAGGTCCCTCAAAGGCTGAAGACGGCGAAGAAAGTCCGCATTGAATCTCTCGAGACGCTGGAAGTCTGATGTCAATGCGCCTAGTTTGCGCTTCCATGAGATGCAACGGCACAGAACAACTGCAACATCGTAGAAAAATCACGACCGGAACCCTAGACCCCATCTTCCTGCTGCAGTTGTCGAGCCGGATCGATCTGTGAGGGTCCCAGGGCCCGACAGGAGGCGAACCCGCCCTGCTCGAGACAAAAACTGCGACGCCAAGATTCGGGGGCAAACAAACCTACCTCGCTTTTGACCACCCTCGCTTCCAAGAGATACCAAGCAATGCCAAATTACGGTATGTACTGGTCAGGCCGCTTGACGAGGAGGCGTATGGTATGACTTGGTTTTGCCTGGAAGCGAAAGCGGGGTAGGTAATTCACGCTCTGAAAGATCTCAGGGCTCCCAGGATGCCTGGGAGGCTGGGTGCGAGTCGGGGCCGGCGGCGCCGTCCCCCGACGCGCCCAGCAGGTGCGGCGACGAGCCCTGGCCGCCCCTGTGGCCGCCACCCAGCAGGCGCGGCGACGAGCCCTGGCCGCCCCTGTGACCGCCCATGGCCGCCAGCGACCGGGCGGTCGGCCGCGGCCCGCCGCCGCCGGCGGGCGCCTGCGTGCCCGCGCCCCGACCCGGAGGGCGGGGAGCGCGCGGGGCCTGGGCCCGAGAAGGCGGCCGAGGGCGGAGGGCGCGCGCACGGCGCGGTGGCGGGGCCGTGGCAGCCCTCGCCTGGCCGCCCCGGTGCGCAGCGCGCAGCACGTGCCGTGCTGGCACGGTGCTCAACGCGTTGGCCGAAAGCGCAGCTCTGGCGCGACGTGTGCGCCCACGGACGTGGACCAGCACGTGCCGAACCAGCAGGCAACGCGTGGACACAGACGCCTTGAGCACAGTACGTGTTGCGTTTCAGCACGGGCGTATCAGGGCAGCTCGGGGCCCACGGCGTCGTGGAACAAGTCGCGGCGGATGGCTCGGGGGCCTCGTCGTGAGTTCCTGGAGGTCTTCCAGCCCCGGGGTGCTTTCCAGCATCTGCGCCTGGCCGAGAGCGTGCCGGGGGTGCCCGGGTCCTCCCGAGCGGCCGCCCGAGGCCCGAGCTGCTGCCGGAGAACGGACCTCCTCGCGACGCGGTAGAGATCACGGCGGAAGGTGCTCGGCAGCTTTCGTCGTCGGCGGGCTCTCCTCGAGCCCCAGGACCGCCAACAGAACGGCTCAGGATGAAAGAGACGGCGTCAGATGTCTGGGAGGGGAGGGCGGGAGGAGGGGAAGGATAAGGGATAAGGTGCGACCGATCGCGAGGCGGAGCAGCGTGAACAGCCATGGCTCGAGCCTTGGGCACGGGTGGCAGGGTGAAGAGGAGGGAGGGAGGGGGGGGGAGGGAGAGGGGGAGGAGGGAGAGGGGGGGAGGAGGGAGAGGGGCGGGAGGGATCGAGAGGGGGGGGCGGGTGGGAGGGAGAAGTCACAAGCAAAGAGCAACCTACAGCAGCGTGTGGGGCCGAACGGTCTTGCACAGTCCCTGAGCGCATGGCTGTAGTGAGGTTCCGCGGTGCGGATTGAATCTTCGCGCTTCTGAAGAGTAACTCTTGCTGATACCCCCCGTCCCGTGACCATTGCATTTTTCAATTGAAGTGCCCCCCTGAGGCTCGCACTCTTTTTTTTGTTTGGTGTGTTTTTTGTTCATGTGCAACAATCAGGGAAACTCAAACTGCTTTGTCGCCCCCCCGAGTTATAACAAACGAGACTCCCGCCTGATACTTCCTCGCGAACGATTCACACTCGCGTTCTCGCGCGGGACTTCATCAAATTACCCAGAAATCGCTCTCGCTCAGGACTGCGCCCTTGTCGCCCAAGAATCGCGCTCCTGCACGGGACTTCCTTACAACTCAACCCTCCTGTTAGGATCCGCCTGCCCGACCCGCCCATCAGGGCCCGCTTGCCAAAATTGTTGCTCCTCTCTCCTCCACCTCCTGCTCAATCTTCTTCGCCCTCAATCCTCCTCCCTCCATCTTGCCCCACTCCTTTCTTGTTGCCACATTATTTCCTCGCTCCCTTTTCCTCTTCCCTCCTCCTCCTCCTCCTCCTCCTCAACCTCCTCTCCTAGAGGCCGCATTCACCACACGTGGCAGGCAAGGAAGATGTGCCTCCGAAGGCGGTACGATCGACGATCGAAGACGAAGAAGGCAAGTATCGAGGGCTTCGGGTACTCGTGTTGATCGACACGCGAGCAACCAAGAGCGAGCAGTCGTAGAATGCTAGTCATTGCTGTTCTTGAGGTCCCACGACCCACCCGCGCCTCCTCGAACCGCCCGCGACCCCGAAGGAGAACGAAAGGAGGTCAAAGCCAGGTCAGGCCAGGAATTCCGCGAAAGCCCTTCCATGAGAGTCCAGCCACGGGGGAGGTGAAGCATATGTGGACCCAGCCCACAGCCCAGACAGGGCTAACTGAGGAACACCACCATCTGGGTTTCGTAGAACAGAGGGGCACAGCGCCCAGAAAGAGAAGGGAACAGCACTCCAGGGATAAAACACATATCAAACGAAGGGACGACGAGGAGGAGGAAGAGGCATGATCCAACCGCGGCGATCACTCGGTCGACATCCGCAGTGGTGTTGATGTTCACAGCGTGAACCCGGACAAGTCTGGACCCATTCCCAGGGGCTGGCCTTTCATCCTGCATGGCCCTTTTGACGGTTCTGGGGTCCTGCAAGGGTAGAGGCCTCCTAGATGGGGTCGGAGTAGATGGGGTCGGAGGACCGCGCCGCATCGCCAATACATCGACGATACATCGGCGATGCATCGGCGATGCATCAGCGATGCACCGGTGATGAGGCGTCGACGTCGGCGATGTATCGGCGACGTCGGCGTGGGGAAAATCGGGCTCCGCATCGAGCCGCATCGTCGATGCATCGGCGATGCGGCGCGACCCTCCGACCCCATCTACTCCGACCCCATCTAGGAGGTCTAGAAAGGGCCCCCAGAAACAGAAAACGCCCAAAGACCTTCCGCCGGGATCTTTTCGCTACGCGAGGGTGCCTAGTGAAGACGAACTAAATCTCGTTCTGGGGACCTTCTGGGAGCCAATCGCTCCACTCATTCGGCGATGCTACGTCGAACGCCCGTCGATTCGATTCGATTCGAACTCGAATCGAACTTGAACCGAGCTTGAATCGAACAGCAGCCGAACAGATCCGTCAGGTGAGCATCAAAGAGGAGCCGTCTTCTTTGTTCGTTGCTGGTGTGGCGGCCACGCCTCGCGCAGCTCCACTCAGCGCGCGCGCGATGGCCAAGAGAAAGCTCCACGAACATCTAACGAGGAGAAGTCGCGGCTACAGCGGGAGACCCGGATGACCGCTGCACGGGCACGGCCGGGCCGCCGGTGGCGGGGAGAGAGAGGGGGGGCGAAGGGAGGGAGACCTCCACTGGCCACTGGAGAGAGCGGGGAAGGGCTTGAGGGGAGCGAGGGCGGTGCGGAGGCAGAGAGAGAAAGAAGACCAGCAACGAATCCCCTCCCTCCTCCTCTTCACCCTTCCAGCCCAGCCGAAAGCTCGAGCTAGGTGTTCTACAATGAGGCCTCCGCTGCAGAGGCTCGAGATGTACACTGGGTCGTCCGGACGAAGATCGGGAGCGGCCAAGAGGGGGGCGTCCAAGAGGGGGGGTGGGTACAAGTCATGGCCGGCGGCATGTGCGCGGCCCAGGGGGGGGGGGGGGGGGGGGGGCAGGGACGTAATAAAATAAGAAGAGGCGCCATGACATCTGGGGAAATATCATGGCCCACGCCATGATATCCACCCGCCCCTAGTCATCACCCCCCTCTTTGCCGCCCCCGAGAAGAGAGACAACTCAAGCACTTCTGTACAACTTCGGACCTGCGAGCCGCGGCCCCTGACACCTGACACAGGCAGGCGTAAAGGTGAGCACAACGGTGTGGCATTGCCGCTCCTGTCCGCTTTCGCGGAGCCACGGGCGGCGGAAGCACGACAGACCAGGACGCCCTGCTACGAGGGGGGGGGGGCGAGTGAGGAGGAGGAGAAGGCAGTGGACAAGGAGGAAGAGGAGGGAGGGGACAACCTGGCAGCAATAAAAAGAAGACTGCACCGACGAAGGCTGAGAACCCACGGGCAGCGCGCATCACAATGCCACGCGCGCGAGCGCGTAAACCCCGGCACTCGCAGGAGGAGGGGAATGAGGAGGAGGAGGAGGAGGAGGAGGAGGAGGAGGAGGCAGAGGACGAGAATCGAGAAGAGGACGACGAGGAGGATGGGGAAAACAGGGCCGCTCTAAAAAGGATGGCTACCCCGAGGATGGGCCAGGATCCCCTGGGCAGCGCTGATCGCAGCGCCAAGCGCGCGAGCGCGTGAACCCTGCTATTTGCAGGAGGAGGAGGAGGAGGGAAGGAGGGGAGGAGGAGGAGGGGAAACAACTAACGGCAGCACCAATTCTGGGTGCTAGGTGTTCGCGTTGCCACGCCTCGCGATCGGTCCTATCCTGTCCTATCCTATCCTTCGGCCCTCCCCCCCACACCCTCGTTCCTCCCCCCTCCTCCCCAGACATCCGCCGTCGAAACATTGTCGCACCGTGCCTCCCCAGAGGGAGGGCTTGAGGTTATGAGGTAAATGCTGGGAGGTCTTCGCAAGACTGCTTGTAGGGCTATTGTGCCCGACTGAGGGGCCACTGAGCCAGACTTGCCCAGATGAAGCCTGGGCTCAGGCCAGATTCAGCCGGATAGAGCGGGAGGAAACACAAGCAGAGCTATGCGGCACTGTGCTGGGTCTGGCCGATTCCACGACCGCGGATGCACCAGCGCCGAGGCTGAATTTGACCTCCCAGGACTCCCAGGAACTGCATCCGAATGAAAAGGAGCGAGGGGAACCGAGAGAGGGATACATGTTATATATATATATATATATATAAAGAGAGAGAGAGAGAGAGAGAGAGAGAGAGAAACAGAGAGAGAGAGAGAGAGAGAGAGAGAAAGAGAGAGAGAGAGAGAAACAAAAGAACAAGCAAAACACTGTTGACCCAGGAATCTGACGTCGTGGTTCTGTTCGCATCGTGACTCCTACGAAGGACTGGGCTCCCTCCCTAGGGGACGGCCGTTCGGCCCCGAGTCGTGCTTTGACGGCGCCGGGGCCCGCCGAAGGGCCCCGGGAGGCCCTAAACGGCAACAGAACCTCCCGACCTGAGTCTTGTCCACGGCGCGAGGACTTCAGAGGAGGGGCAAGGAGAGAGGAGGGGGAGAGGGGGGGAGAACAGCCGTGCGAGCGGAAAATCCGACCCGACCCGGGTGAGCTGGCGCGAAGGCGTTTCACGGTGCATCGGCAGCTGAAGCCGAAGCCAGAGCTGAAGTGCATAGAGAAATGGAAAGGGCCCACCCTGCAGGTCTGGCTGACAGCACATCGTTGAGCGGTGCTGCAGCCTCCCCTGAGCGCAGGCCCCCCTCAGAGCAGAACCTTTACAGAGAAATGGAAAGGGCCCACCCTGTCAGTTTGGTTGACAGCACATCGTTGAGGCAGGATGAAGAGGAACGAGAGAGAGCTTGCAGACTCCCCCCTGCTGGCCATGCGCACAGGGGTCAGGGGCATAAAGTTTCAGATGTATTTGACAGGCGAGCCCGGAGCAACTTCTCGGCGCTCGGCTTGAGCATGTCGTCCATCTCGTTCCGGCAACGCCCATTACTGTCCAGTGCCACCAGCATGGCGGAAACCTGAGCGACAAAGAAAGCGATGTCCTCACGCATGGCCTTGCGCAGGCCGCTCACGCGGCACACCATGTGGGAAAGCGAGAGAGAGAGAGAGAGAGAAAGAGGGAGAGGATGATATATATATAGAAATCGTAAGTACGCAAACGTTCTCTCGTCGTGATAGCAACCAGAACAAAACTTACATACGTACAAACATACATACGCATATGAGTACATCCATGCTAGTCCCTGTATTCGTACTGTTGTAAAAAAGACACGGGCGATGTGTTGTTGCCGTTAGCATACGCGCGGCCTTTCGCGTGCGGCTTGCGCACGACATGTCTGCGCAGATGGCCCTCCCCTGTTCTGCGTCGCCCACCTGGGTGGCCAGCCTTCTCATGTCGTAGCTGATCTCGGCCATCTCCATGCTTGTGGCATTACCCTTCAGCTTCTCGCATCCCCTCAGGAAGTCTGCTGGTCCCCCCTGCGGGGCCATCACGCTGCACAGGTGAGGGCTCACGCAACTTGCGCAATCCAACACGCGTGACTTCGCACGTCAGCACCCTGGATTACCGACAAGGTGTGAAACACCGACAGGTGCGCAAAGCTGCTTCACGCGCGCCCCCCCCCCCGCCAATAACAAAGCCCCAAACGGATAATCAGGCTTTCCCATCCTCGAGGGCCTGGTGCTCTCAGCCTGTGGGTGCCCAGAGCACACACTGCTGAACGCGAGGGTCCCCCATGGCCTAGCAGACCCTCCGTCTCTTGCTCTCAGCCTCTGGGCACCATGGGGCCCGCAAAGATTAATGCTTCCTGCAAGGGGAGGAGGAGGAGGAGGAGGAGGAGGAGGAGGAGGAGGAGGAGGAGGAGGAGGAGGAGGAGGAGGAGATGACGCCTCACACCTGCGTGCGCCTGAAGCTTGCCCCAGAAGAGAAGGATGGAGGGGGGGGAGGAGGAGGGGAGGGGAGGAGGAGGAGGAGGAGGACGACGAGGGAGGGGGAGGAGAAGGATCATGGGGATGGTGCTCTCAGCCTCTGGGCACCGTGGGACGCGCAAAGATAAATGCTTCCTCCATCCTGCAGGCACCCCTCGAGTAAACAGATAGGTCCTCGCTCCGCCGGCCACGTCAGCTTGCGAAATGGATGGGATCCTCCCTCACAGGGCAGTACGCCCTCGTACAACACAGAGGGGTCCTCGCACGATGATCCCTCGCAACAGGATGTGAGCGACGGCAACACACTTTTGCATCAGCGGCTAAGCAGAGTGACTATGCTAGCGGACTTACGCACGCACTTGCGCACGCACGCACACACATAAGCACACACACACCACACACATCACACACACGCACACCACGCACACACACACCGCACACACAACACACAGTACACACATCCCACATCCCACACACAAACACAGGTCTTACGCGAAAAGACACATCGACCTTACGAAGCGGCTTACGCGGGCAGACAGCGTGGCACACTGCGTGGTGAAAATAACGCTTACGCGCGGCCCTGCGCAGGTAGCTTACGCGCTAAAGTCGGCGCAACCGACCCCGCTTTCTTCCGTCGTTCATGTGGCCCCCATCTCGCAGGGACCCAGTCCGACGATGATGCACTACGGTGGACAACACCCAATCAGTTGTTTGCACGTGGCCTGCAAGGGCAATGTGCTGATGGCGCGCATGAGCAAAACATGTGCTCTTGACTGTATGCGTTCGAATACTCACCCTCCACTATTGATCCTAAATCCTCCAGCCTCTACTCTCTACTTTCGGCTCCATCGCAAGGCCATCAGAGGGTTCCAAACTTACCAAAAGCACACAACTTACACCAACATGCCCAAGATGGTATACTATCGCCACAGAAAGCTGAAGCATGACCCCAAGAAGGCCCGCGAACGTTCTCAACCCGACTGCCTTCAAACCACGCATCCATCACAAAGCGGCTGTCGGAAAAGGGCGAAGCCCTGCAGATCGTCCAGCTTGATGGCACCATCGTTCGAGGCATCTATGAGCTTGAACAGCGTGTATGCGTCGCGGAAGTCGATCTGGAGGGCCTGGAAGTAGGCCTTCATCAGGTCGTCCTCGGAGATCAGCTCTAGCTCGTCGATGGTTATGAGACCCGACGCGTCGTCGTCGATGGCACCGAAGAGCTGCTGCAACTTCTCCGTGCAAGCTCGCCGGTTATCGATGATAGACTTGGCGACCAGATCCGGATTTCGCTGGGTTGTCTCTACTGCTGAACTGCAGAACACACCGGTGACCTCAGTTGTGTCTCAAAGCGGCCTGGGCGTGTTTTCCCTTTGAATTTCTCGCTCTTGAACACATTAAAACCGAAATCAACCTATTTCCGAAAACTTCTGGATATTGTGCAAAGACGCAACATAGACTATCATACGCGAAAACTCAAACATATTGTAATTCACCCAAGAAGCTCCCTGGCCCTTTGAAAGAGATCTGAGCCAGTGGCCACATTCAAGACGGCGAAGTACACGAACGCGATGTACACAGTGAAGAGGGAGGTCGGGAGGACCGAGATGCCCTGCAGCGCCACGGCTGGCTCCCGCCAGCTGACGCCGCCGGAGATCGACTGGAAGAGGGTGAACATGCTCCGGTCCAGAGATCCCCACTCTCCCAACAACATGTCCACTCTGTCCTGATGGAAGAAGTGTCGATAACAACGTGACCTTTCGAGGGTCTGCGCGAGTTTCTTGGACTGGCGCTGGGCCCCACACCCCTGGCGCGCAGGCGCGCCTGGGGACCCAGCGCCGACCAAGCAGATCACCGCGGAACCTCGAGAATTCATGCTTGGGCAGTGTGCTCTTCGTCAGGTCCTGGCCAAGGCCGCCCTCTTGCTCGACGTGGTCCAGGGC